CTGCCATTTACCAGTCTGGACAACCTGGAGCTATTTATTTGCTTTTTCTGAGCTTAATTTCTTCAACTATAAAATAAGGCTAATAGTAGTACTTTCTCATTGATTTGTGAGAGTTGACGTAACTTCTGTAAGGCTGAGCCTAGCACAGTAGCTGGTGTATGTGCTCAGCATGTTAGCTGTAATTATGAACTTGGAATTTAGTGTTACTTGAGAAGAGTAGAAAGAGAGGAAAGGAAAGAGAGCTACTGTGTTATGCATTTTGATGTGTTATTTTATTTTATCCTTCTAATGAGCCTAGAACGGACTATTCTTCCTACTTTACAGAGAAGGATACAGATTCACACAGGATAATTGGCTTGTCAAGGGTCACATAGTTAATACATAGCAGAATCAAGTTTGGAACCTGAAGTCTCTCCAAATTCAAAGCCCATATCTTTGCCACGTACTGTGCTACTTTTAATTGGGGCATAATCTGTATGTTCCTGAAGTAACTAAATAGCAATATAAGACTAAAACCACGAAGCAGGAATATGAATGGTTTGTTCACTCATTGTTTTATCAATTAGGAATCTAATTTAATCTCAGATACTCTGCTCAGTGCTAGGTATACTAAATCATGATTCCATCATTTTGTCCTTCTGAGTTTTTGTTCATTCTGTTTTTTTTTATTGTAATGTTGGTATATAGCGCTATATGCATTTTAGAAATACAGGTTCACACCTTTTCAGATGACTTGCTGTACCTCACCCACCACCAAATACTGATAACCCTCCATCTATAAATAAAGATGAAGCCTTGCTATTTGTGCTAACATGGATGGAATTGGAGGAGATTATACTGTTCATTTATAGGAGATAACTAAATTTATATAAATAAGTAAAAATAGAAAAATAAATGCTCATGAGGAATGTAAATATGTGTTTGAATGGTGCTGCTAGCTGTAATTGGGGAAGGATATGGAGAGAATCTGGAAAGTCCTTACAAAAAGAGCAACGTGACACAGAGAGAGAGAGGGATAGAATGAGGGAGGGAGACTTGAGCAAATTGTGATGTTTCAAATTGTTATTAATATATTCTTTCTCTCTTTTTAAAAGATTTATTTATGTATACAAGAGCTGGGGTACAGGCCAGAGATGCGGGGGGTGAGAGGATTCACCAAAGACAGAGTGGGGAACAGAACAGGCAGACTGAAATACACTGCTGAGGGGAGCAGCAGGCGAGACAGGAGAGGTCCGCTGCACCATGTGGGTAGCTCCCTGGCCTGGGGATCGAACTCGTGCTGCAGTGGCTGTGGATAGCTTCATAGGTTGCGTCTTAACCCCTTGAGCCACCAGGAAAGCCCAATCTTTTTGACTCTTTTTAAGAAAAATATAAATTCTTCCCCTTAAGCATCATCTACCTATATCCCCTCAAAATCTTCAGTGTTCTATTTGGGAAACTGACTTCTGGGTTAATATCATCTGTAAAAGTTGGGTGTTATCAGATGTCAGTTAGCACATTTGAAATTATGATGGGCCTAGAAAATTTAAGAGCTGCAAAGTCTCAATCCTCATTTTATGGGCAAGAAAAATGGAGACGTAACTCACATGCCCCAGCTGTATTATAGCAGAACTAGGAGGAAAATATATAGTCTGTGATCTCTAGTCTAGTACACTTTTCACCATACTATGCCTAGCATAACCTCCATGCAGTAGTATTCAGGCTTATTAAATCACATCGCCCCTCACTTTTTATGATAAGAGATTCTACAAGACTTAACTTGATCATAAATGCTACACAGGAGACAAATGACTCAGTGTCATCATTTCAGAAGTTTTGGTCTACAAAATGGCTTTTGTTTATAGACAACTTATTGAGTGATTATCTTATTATTTGACTAATGCTTTATTTATTTTTTCGGTTGAAAAAACAGTCTTAGAAAGCTAAGATATTAGAGCCTTGAAAAATGGCTATTAGACATGTCCAATTACTATATTTCATAAGATTTTTAAAATGCAGAAATTTAGTAGACACATTTTGTATTGTGAATATATGTTTAACTGATGGACTATAACAGTTCAAATAGAATCATTTATAGCTTATTGAGTAAATAAAAGTGCTTCCATAAAGACTCACATGACAACTAGCTTTTATTTCAGGTAACTAATTTCTTTTTAAATATTGCTTAAATTTAGATTTACACGAGAGTCTACCAGAACACCTCAGCAGTTTAAAAACTAGTTTAAATGACCATGAACTTTACAGATTTAAAATGTAAGATCAGGTGGTGAATATTAACTTTTAATGGTCTCTGATAAAAAGTTATTTAACTGTCTTTTATTCTCTGTGTTATATTAAAAGAGTTGGGATATATTTCTGGATATTATCTGTAACAAGAAAAATAGTTCATATTTACTTGTTATTTAAATATTGCATTCTCAAATCAAGTTTTCACTAGAATTTTTGTTGACTTGTTTTTAAGCTATTAGGATAAAATAGGATTTTATCCCATTTCATGAAAGAAAACATTTTCTAGCAATATACAGGTTATGGCAAATGACTTAAATAGCAAAAAAAAAAGTTTTTACTTACGCATAAGTAAATCTGTTTGCTAAGTGAAGGACATTCCTTTTGAGAGATGCAAGTCTTTAAGGATATAAGGTTATTTCCCATGTGTATGGCATAAGGTTAGAAGATAATATGCAAGGAGTGATACTCTAATATGAAGTACTAAATACTTAATACCCAATTCAAAGTTATTTAGTTAAAAATGTTATATTAGATAAAAAGGTGCTTTTAGAAAATATGATAGAAAATAGGCATATTAAAATGTAAGACAAATGACACAAATGTTTGTGGTGGTCAGATCTACAGAATATTGAGAATAGGCAGAGACCTTCCCTATAGGAGAGCCTTACCTATGTCAAATGCGTTAGGTTGATGGAATCCCATGAACAAAAAAGTTTAAAGTTTCAAGTTTAAAATGTAAGCTTGAGTAAATTTTATATATATGTACACACACGTACATGTACAGAATATGCACATATAGTTGTATAACATACATGTATATATGTATATTATTTATATATTAATATATTCACATATACACACATTAACAATTCATTGTAAAGCAGGAGTGACTGGTCAGTCTGGCAGTTACCTTTTTCTACTCTAAAGCATCAAGAAGGAAATACTCTCAGAGAATACTAGACCTTCCTTGGTGTGATTCTATAGATGCCTCTCTTCTTACCCATAATTTTCTTAGAGCAGACACCGATGTATAAAGATGTAATAACTTGAAGTCTTGCTTGACAATAGTCTGTTTTCATAGTAAATATTACTATTGCTATAACTAGGTTTTATTAAGAAAAAATCATGCCCTGCCATCTCGGGCTCTTGGGCACTCCTCTTAACTCCTGATCTGGCAAAAGAAGTTGCTAAGATGACCTTGTAGTCTTTATAGCAGTAAAATCAATCAAGTAATGATGTGTCAATTTATACACACAGCTTAAAAAAAGAAAAAAAAAACCCAAAAAACAGAAAGTGTGGTTCTAGTAGCAGGAAAAGTGGAAAAATGCAGGAGTTTATGAATGAGGTTATGAATGGATATGTGCGGAGCCAGTGTTAAGGCTCTGTAAGCAAAGCCTCATCAGCGCTGCTAATCAGGGTGCACATATGATCTTGGAAGTTCCTTTCCCTGTGTGGGGATAAGCCAAACCTGCTCCTCCACTGAGCCATTCAAGCGACCATCTTAGGTGTGTTTTAACTTCCAGCATAAAAAGAGATGATTTCCGTCAGCTGTAGGCTTGCAGTGGGATATCAAGAAATCAAACGAACAGAGATCAAAGAAAATTGCTGAACTAGGTGTTAGATGCAGCCATTGATTTTTCTCCAGTTGTAGTTTTAAAAAAATCCACAAAAATGGTAACACATACAACAGTTGAATTTTTAATACTTAGTTAAAGCAAGCGGTAGCTTTCTTCTCGTTTTCACATGTATAATATAAATGGTTTTGTATAACGTGACTATTAAGCAGGTCCTTATATTTCACACTGTGTTGTTACCAAAACTGTAAGTGAATTACCAAAAGAGGTTTTTTAAAGAAAACTCTGGATGTAAAATATGGATTTTAGTAGGGCCACCTTTCACTAGGCTTATTTCAACAACATATATTTGCTGGGAATCTGGAAAATTTTGACATACAATTGATCACTGTTTTTCTACTTTCTATGAATGTCATAAATAAAGCCTATCTGCCTATCTTATAAAACTTCATTCATGTTAAATGTTAGCTACTGATTACTGGCATTACTTTGGGCTTAAATGTATAGTTTCATGAAAATTTTAATTCTGTTTTCAAGTACTGCAGCAAGTGTGTGAATTTCTAAAGTTTGAATGTCAGTGATATTTTAAAATATGGGACAATTGGTTTCATGTTGCAATCCCCTATTTTGATACATGATTTCCAAATGTAATAGAAGCCAGTAGGATGACAGGATGATAGCATGATGATTAAAAGGCAAAAAGTTGGGCTCATTATTATTGTATCTCAATGCTATTTTCTAGAAGTCACTCGAATAATCTTATTTTTCTTTGTGCTATCCTTATCAAGTTAATAAGTCAGGCTGATAGATTTATAAAACATAAATATTCATAATTCATCTCTTAATAGTCTAATCTTCCATATTGCATAGCCCTTATTATAGGACATAATGAAAAAAACATTAACCCTGGTTTCTGTTACTTGCCAATGGATGGAAGCAGAGGTAAAAAATGTCTGATCATATTGACTCATTGATTCAATAACTTTGTAAAAATTTTGTATGAAGTTTTAGTGTTTAAGCAAGCTCCTGTTGTACTGAAAACTTTATGACATACAAGAGATTCATTCACACTTAGAAAATTTAATGTTATCATATAGATTATTTAAATTGCAGTTCTCATCACATTTTATATTAAAATGTTTAATACTCTACTCTGCATGATTCTATGTTTATTAATCTTTTCTTTGTATATCACAGACAGGGTCACGAGATCATTCAAATCTCTCCATTCCGTCAAGAGCTGCTCTACCTGCTGACACAATTAATGTTGGAGACTTTTTGCCATTGAAAGCTGAACTTGATACAACTTACACTTTCTTGAAGGAGACACTTATAAATCCTCTGCCCCATGCACCAATATCACCTTATTCATCTCCAGTGACTATGTCTGCTAATGTCAACAGACCAACTCAGATTGGATTATGACTTTGTGAAATAAAAATCCAAGAAGTGTTAACAGTACAATTAAAATTGTCTTGAAGGGGGAATTCTTTTATCACTCGAATTTTCTTGTAGCACAATGGGCAGTGGGTTTTTTAAAATTGTGTGACATCTTGATGTGTGCAGGTATCTATTTCTCCTTGAATAATGAAATAACCAACTTTTTCCCCTTTTTCAACTTTTATTTATTATCACAGTTGCTCATTTTTATGTAACATATTTTTAAATGTTAAAGAATGACACATTTTGGGTAATTTCCCTCAGACTTAAAAAAATCAATAAGCCATTTTAGTCTCTATCTATCAAAGTTGTTTCATACTTGTCTATTTTAAAGCAGGACTGCAATACTTTAATAGGATTGAGAGAGCTATTTGAAATGTATGCCAATGATTCCTGTCATTTCATGGCAGCCCTGCCATGGTTCACTGAGCCCCTCTTCTCTCTTGTCAGCTCAACTGAAGACAAGCATTTAGTTGCAAACTTTAAGCAGGTTGTGCAAAACAGAAATGATGTGACTGCTTCTCTTCCTGCACAATAATGTCACTCCTGGTCAATGTGAGAAGGTCAGGTTGCTCCTTGTAAAGCTACATGATACCACTTGCCCATTTGAACAAGTTAAGTTAACTGCTGAATCTGGTCCCTGTAGGCACTGAAAACTCACCCTTTTATCAAGTCTGCATTTGGTACGAAAGTAGAGCAATTGTGCTGCGAGGATTTCTGTGGTATGTTTAGGCTCTTTTTAAGGACAGTTCCCACACCAGTACAGCAAGTAATATATTTAGTATAAGCTGAAAAACTTCAAGGTAATGGCTGTTTTGACCTTCAAAATAGACTCCTTTTTTTTGTTTTTGTTGTTGGTAGGACCCAAGAGTGACGCCTATCTTTGATGCTGACAGAATTTAAAACAAGGCCATTGCCCTGCATTTTCTGCCTTGTAGCACACAAAAGTAAAATTGTATGTCAGGCCGAGATGTCGGGGAGCTGACAAGATGCCCCAGTGACATTTCAGCTAGAAAGAGCAAGTGTCTTGCAACCAAGTGGTCAAATATCAAATAATAGGTCAAGCAGGAAGGAGCTGAGTTCTAACCACAAAGAGGTTTCTGGTAACTTACTTGACAAGCTTTTGGGCGCTTTGTGGCTTGACAAAGTGATGTTCTGTTGGGTATCGCTAGACAGACTGTTCTCTATCGCCTGCAGAAGATCAGACATTGACATTGATTAAACTCTTTAACCCTTAAAGGTTAAACCCTCACCGTTTGCATCATGGTAAGTGAAGAACAAAAGAATATCTGTAATATGTATTTGTGTTTTTATTAATCATTTAACTCCCCAGTGATATTTGCTTCTGTTGAGCACTTTACTTGTTGACAAGGAGTTTTGATACAAAATCCATATTTTATACTATTTTTCATTATGGAGTCTTTTAATGTGGATGCATAAGAAAATAATAATATATACTATGGAATCTTATGCAGTGACATTTGATTCAAATACACTCAACTTCTGAGAATTTTTGTTATTGGTCTTGGTAAAATAAAATTTGCTCACTACCAATTAATGTTATTAACCAACTTCTCCAAGTGATTTATGCTATCTGAGGTAACAGCACTGTTGCTGTTACACAATGTTGCACAACATTATTTCTTGTAGTGTTAAGGCAGTATAGTTGGCTTTATATAAATATTTAGAAGGTTTTTATGTACAGTAAAATTACATCTTCAACCAAATTTCTCTTAATTTTCTCCTTAGAATTCTTTGTATTGACCTTTATGGGTTTTGAGTATTGCAGAATATGCCCAATGTAATATCACCTGTATGAAATTCAATTTGTAAATGTATTGTTACAAGAAAATGCTGTTGATTGCTTTTACAGGGATCATGGAATAACTGTTGTACTTTCCAAAATACTTTTTTCTGCCATGCCATTCAGTGGTGAAGATATCTTTCCATATAGAAATACCACAGCTTTTTAGTTAATGTGACATCAGTGAGATTACAATTCTCACACTATAAAAAACAATATTATCCTGTATCCCTTCTATGTTTGCATTTTTGTATGTGTTTGTATTGAATCTATTTCCAGATCCTACTAATTTAAGAAGAACGACCACCTTTGTAAATTTTGGACAGACCTTGACCTTGCCTTAATTTTATAATCTGTTAATGGGATAACATCAAAAATAAATGTTTATGTCTCTTCATGTATGTGGGTATCTGGTTTTACGGATGCATTTTATACAGGAAATTCTGAACTGTAAATTCAAAAAGATTACTAATTCAAATCAAAGCGTGTCACATTTATAGCCAACTGGATGCTAAAGGCCACAGAGACTGGAGGATGAGCATTCTGAGCAATCATTAGTATTCATTACCAAATATAGTAATTTTTATACCATATGCTTTTTTTCCCAGAAGTCTGACCCAGCAGGAGGAGAAGATTTAATGACATGTCCTATGGAGATCTGAGAGACTCTAGACCGCTGCTCAGTACCTTAGTGACCAATTGCTGCATATTTGAGTTCTGTGTTGTGTTGGTAAGGACAGTTGCTCTATCAGCTTCCTCATCTCCTTAAGAAGAATGATGTATATAGTAGACATTTCTCAGGAGAATGAATTCAAATATTTTTGCAGGGAAAGGAAATTTTACTTTACATCTTACTATATGGATTTTTTTAAACTAACCTTATGTGGTCTAGAAAAATACCTTTATCACCCACTACTATCAAAAGGAGTCTTAAAGTTATTGTTCTGTTACCTAAGTTCTACTTACCTCATTGAGGCTTTGCCAGCATTTTTGGAATGACATAACACAAATACAAAAAGGTTTAGGAAATTTTGAGAAGAGCCAATTCAGTGATAATTTCATGGCATAGATATTAACCTTTTAAATGGGAGAATGGTCACTTTAATTTACCAAAATCTACTCATTAAATTTAGCAGCATTGCTTCTTACTTCACAATTTATAATATATGCTGTTATTGAGTGTTTACTGAAATCATTGCTATTTTCACCTTTATTTACCAGTTACATATGAATTCATTCTAGACCACACTGAGCAAGAGCAAATTGATCCTATTTTACTGTGCACTTTCTATAGACAAATTTTCTAATATAAAAGGTGGAAAGTAACTAATGTTTATTAAACAACTATTCTATGCCACTCACTGTATCAAAACTCTTCATGTTCTCACAATAAACCTATCTGATTTCCACACTGTTATTTTATAGGTGAAAACTTGATAATCTAAAATGTTAAGCATTTGATTACCTAAAAATCACACGCACAGAATCTAGTAGCTAGTGACCCCAGAGGTGTAACTCTAAATTCCAAGTTAATTCTGCTTTGCCAAGCCTGCCTTCCAGAATAATTCACTCTCTTTAAAGGGGATAATAATGCACACTCTTTAAAAAGGAGGAAAAATGTTTTAAGTACCCTGACCAATGAGGAATAATTTTCTTTTAATTTTTTTAAAAATTTTTTTCCCAAAGATTTTTTATTTATACAAGAACCTGGGTACAGACCAGATGCCTGGGAGGTTGAGAGGATTCACCAGAGACAGAGTAGGGAACAAAACAGGCAGACTGATGAAATACACTGTTGAGGGGAGCAGCGGGGCGAGACAGGAGAGGTCTGCCATGCCATGTGGGATTCTCACCGGCCAGCGGGATCAAACCTGCCTGCAGAAGCTGCGGGCAGCTTCATAGTGCGGCACTCAACCACCCACGCCACCAGGGAGGCCCAGTGAGGAATAATTTTGAGAAGTTTGTTTTGGTTTGGGTGTAGATCTCCAATCCATTGATTAGGCAAAACAAACAAACACCTCTGCTCTTCCTTATGACTAGTAAGGAATGACTATAGTAAAATTTGTAACTATCCTTCAAAGAAGTCAACACCCATCATTATGTTACACAATGTCTCTTCAATGATCCGAGAGACCATATAGTCACAGTTTAAAATAATGATTTAGAATTTGTAAATCATATCTTAAATGTGCCAGAGCATTTTCCTTTACTATTATTGACCCATGAGTTCAACATATATCCTTGGTCATTTATTTATGCCTTTTGTTGCAAATGAAGTAACAAATTTCTCAAAACCTGAAATCTTCCAAAAAATTTGTTGCTTAATATTTGAATCTATTTTATTTTTACTTTGGTGAAACCATATAGCTTTTTCCTAAAGGTTTAGTTCAATGAGAGCAAACTATTAATGAGATCTACTGTTCAATATAATAAGATCTAAAGTATTGAGGATTTAAACCTAGAATGTTAAATACTTTCAAGGACAGCAACAGCAACAAAAAGTGTCTGGTCCTGTGAAGAATACTCCAAATCTTCCTAGGTAAGTGAGACATAAATACGTACCTTCACTTATTGGTAGAAGGCCCCTCTTTTCTCTTGCACCTTGGCAATTTTATTATAAAACTCCTTTCTGTGATGTGTGGGTTGGCATTCTCAGAAATCAGATGACCTGTGAGTTCATACTGTGGGTGTGAACCTATTTTCTGCATAGTCTTTTCATTTGTTTCACTTTTTTAAACAGTTCTGACTCTTAATGCCTTCCAAACTATTGTCTGTGCAAATCAAATTTCCATTATATCTCAAAAGAAAAAGTTGTTCTTAGTCTTTGCAATAGAGAGACCTAATTGATATTGCATACTATAAGTTGTAAAATATCTGGATACAGTGTGGGAAGGAGATAAATCAAAACCGAGTTTTCTTCTTTCCCCTAAATCATCTTGTGTGGGGGTGTTAGATGCTTAGGCATATGTTTTCAAAGCACTGGCCTCACTGCTAGCCATGCAGCAGAAGTCCCACGCTGGCTTAGAAAACTACTGAGTTAATGTCATCTGAAGATAGTTTTCTATGTGTGGTTTAATTGAGTTATGCTTCATTGTCTTTTATTGCATGTTAATACCAGTGAAATGCTGATTGTTGACAGAGTTCTTCCAGTGGAGCGACTCCAGAATATTGTACTGTGTAGAAACTACAGAAAATACAAAGTCTTACTTAGAGCTGAAGATGGCCTAGCTGACAGGTGAAGAACTATCAGATATTCAAAAATATTCACTAGTGACAAGAATATAAGGGAGCTACCTCTCCTCAACAGGTATCTCTGTATATTTGGGATTATTTGTATAAGGGAAAAATCTCAAGTGCAATCCAGAATGAATGGGATCATATTGGATACCTTATTGAATAGTATTGTACCAGAAATAAATGTAGGGAAGTAAATACAGGACATCTCATTTTTTCTCTTTTCATCCCAGAATCAACTAGATAGGTAGCTAGCGATAGATAAATGCACGCGCGTGCACACACACACACACACACACACGCACACACACATGCACACACACACGCATATATGTAGGTTTTTTTTTTGCAACTTTTTCAAAGTTCATTTCTGGTTTGAAAGTAAGACACTTCCAGAGTAAAACTGGAAAACAGGGAAAGCAGAAAGCTCTGGAACTTGGGCACTCTGGAAATTATTTAGCACCTGAGGTTTAAAGACAAGGAACTCGTAAGTGCTTTTATCGTTATAGAAGTACCACCTGTGATACTATTAAGTTTTCTTCTTTAGAGTATATACTTAGAATGTTTCTCCTCAAAGAAACATTCTAAGTATGTATTCTAAAGACTGGAGATTCTAATGAAGCCAAATACACATTCACAGTTACAATTAAAATTGTGTTTTCAGATAACTTACAGAGGTGTTCTTACCAAAGTGTCCTGGGATCCAAGAATCCTTGAAGGATAGAGCAAAGCTGCCAACAGCTTTGCAACTGCAGAAGGCATACATGAGAAGGCTTTGCAACTGCAGAAGGCATACATGAGAGACTTAGGACTGAAAGGTTGCACGTAAGTGTCTGGCACTTGGACAAAGGATTTTTATTCTCTTTAATCTGCAGGGAAGCAGAGTCTCTGTTCTCCCTAAGAGATAATCCTGCAGAAGTTCAACACAGTCCTGCCTGAATATCAAGTTAATCAGAATAGAAACTGTTGCTTTATCACTAAATCACTTTTGAACTTTACTGTCATCCATTGATTTTATGTTCATGACAACGGAAATAAAAATTCACCCACAGAGCACACACACATTTTTTTTTCCATTGAAGCTTTATTCTGTCCCACGTTTGTAATTCATTCTGTTATTTTTGGTTATTTACAAGAATGGGCCACCACCTCTATTTTCTAATGCAAGAATAATTTCATTACCCTAAAGAAAAAAAAAACCCATGCCTTTGGCAGTCACTTGCCATTCCTCATTCACCCTACCCCCTGGCAACCATAATCTGCTGTCTCTACTTATCTGTTCCAGATAGTCTATACAAATAGGACACATGTTGCATTTTGTATCTGGTTCCTGTTTATCTTGTAGCATGTATCTGTACTTCATTCTTTATCTATGTAGGATGATAGTCTATTATAAGAATATATCACATTTTGTTTATCCATTTATCAGTCAGTTGATGCTTGATTTTCTTTTACTTTGGGGTTAATATGAAGAATTGTGCCGTGAACTTCATGCCAAGTTTTTGTGTGAACATAGTTTTTCATTTCTGTTGGGTATATACTTAGGGGTAGAATTGCTGAGGCAGACAGTAATTCCAAGTTTAAGTTTTTGAGGAATTCTCAGATGGTTTTCCAAAATAATGCACCATTTTAAATTCTAATTAACACTGTATAAGGTTTCCAGTTTCTCTACATTCTTGCCAATACTTATTGTTGCCCAGCTTTTTGATAATAGCTATGCCAGTAGGTGTGAAGTGGTATTTCCTTGTGGGTTGGATTTGTATTCTGCCACTGACTATTGGTACTGAGCATCTCTGTATATGCTTATTGGCTATTTGTATGTATTCTATGAAGAATGTCTTTTCAAGTCCTTTGCCAATTTTTTAAATTGATTTATTAATATTTTTATTCTTGAGTTATAAGAATTCCTTATATATTCTGTATATGTCTTATTTTTTGTTAGATTTATTTTTATATCTAAATTTATTCTAGACCTTACTAAACAAGGGTAAACCAATCCTGTCTTGCTGTGTACTTTTTAAAGACAAGTTTTCTAATAGGAAAGTGCCCAGAAACAACTCTTAAACTGGATTTAAGTCAAAGGTCTTGAACTTCCCTTAGTTCCAGTGGTCTCCTTAGCACATGGTCCAGAGAGGGGGTCCAGTACCCAATCTTAGTGCTCTCTCTCAGCAACCTCAAAATATGAATCCTGATTCTGAGGCTGTAGCCTACACGTAAGGCCTCTGTTCCTGCCATTCCCGTGTTTTCCAGTCTGGATTCCTGCCTACTAAAGACCTATTAAAACAGTTTTCTTAAAAGCCATCTCTTAGGGCCTAAAACTATCTCTGAAGATTTTTTTTTTCAACCTTTCCAAATTATAGAAGGTGTTCATCATCTGTCCAAGATTTATCATTCTGCTTAGGAAGACATTTGTATCTGTTATAATATTATGGTTGATATTCTGCGATGTTGCTCACATAGGGTTTTTTTTTTTTTCTTTCAATAACTTCTTCAAGTTATCTGTTACAGACTGAATTATGTCCTCTAGAAATTCATATGTTGAAGTCCCAGTCCCTAGTGTTATGGTGTTGGGAGAATAGGGTCTTTCGGAGGTAATGAGGGTTAAATGAGTTCGTGAGAATGGGGCTCTTAAGAAAGAATTGGTGAATTTATGAGGAGGGGCAGAGAGGGATAGGGACTGGGGTGAGGAAAGAGTGCTATCTCTCCATGATGTAAGGACAAAGAGGCCAGCCTCCTGGCCACCTCTAAGCCAGGTAGAGAGGCCTCACTGGGAACTGAATTAATTAGCACCCTACTTAGTCTTCACACCCTCCAGGACTATGGAAAATAAATATTGTTCAAGCTACCCAGTTACAGTATTTTGTTAAAGTAGCTTGAGCTAGGACAGCCGTCTAACTTCTAGTGAAAATGTGTAATTAATGTAAGCAGTTCTGATTTATGTCTGCTGGGGATGACAAGTAGATAGAAAGGTCTGTCTGGAGTAGACAAGTAGAGGATTTTTACATTGCAGCTAAACAGTGTTAGGTGTTCTTTGTGGCTAGAAATACTCAGTCCATTTTAAAGTAGGCCAAAAAAAAATGGGAGATTCTTACTACTTCAGAAGCAATGTCTTACCTTTTCTTCTCTATATTCCCCCCTTCCCCACCCCGCTTTTCTGACTCCGTCTGCCTCTTTTCCATATACTCTCAGCATGACTTCCTAAAGGTACAGATTAAATGGTTGGGGTTATTTGAAAAAGTGTCTGAAGTTCTCTTCCCAGCCAAAGGAATTGTACTATAAAGTGGAATAATTTGAAAGGGAGGAGTTTGTCTTTTTCATGCACAATAAAAAGCTTTCAATTCTTTTAATAACTGAAAAGGCTTCTACTTCTGTTCAAGTCTCTAACAATGTCTGATAAAGTTCATATTGTAGTTGTAGTTTATTTCATGAACCAGGAGAATGCAAACTTCTTTTGCGAAGCTTTTGGTTCTCTCTGACACACATCCTCCCTAATGGAGCACACTGAATGTTGATGGATGAGTAATGCAAATTAAGGTGTTCTGTTTACAACTTAATATAAAGGAAGAGATTATAGCACAGATATAGCCTTTATGCACTTCTGAGGACTTCTTATCAATCAGCAGTAATTGAGCTTATATGGTGTTTATGGCCTCAGAGCGGTGTGAGAATTTAGAATCAAATTCACATAGCAGCTGTGTGACCTTAGGCACATTATTTAACCTCATGAACTTAAGATTCCTTTCAGAGAACACGGAGATAATGACACCTTTTTTTGCTGAGCTCTTGTGAGCATTATGTGAGAGAGTCTTTTGCACACAGCTAAATGGCACAGACAAGTCCCTGTCTCTGATAGGGGTAATTTGATTATGAGGCACCAAATCCCACTCAGTATGTTGGAAGGAAAGTGGAACATACTGAAGGAAAGTGGATGATTCATGGAACCCCAGGGCAGAGAGTCCAGCCTCCAGAGGAAGTGAAGAACCTTTCTCACAACTCAGCCTTTTTTTTTTGTTTTTGTTTTTGTTTCTTGAGCTACTTGTTCTCTCTGTTGCTCTCTCTGCTTCTGCTTCCCATCCTGTTCCTCTGCCGACTGATTTTCTTGGCTCCATTTCTACAAGGCCCAGGCATGGCTACCATAACTCTGGCTCACATAACCTATCAGTTTAAGAAACTAAGAGCTCAACTTGAGACCCTTGTTTCATGGCCCACTTCTTTGTAGAAATCTTGACCAGAGAGAGAGAGCGAATGGTCAGTTATCAATGGTCAGTGGAGGCAATGGGAAGAAGCTGAGGAGGACATGGTAGATTCTACAAGATAGTGGTATGGGGGTGAGGAGGAAATAATGGGTATCCTGAGAAAAGTTACCCAAGACACATTGGCTTCCACTTTCTTGAATGCCACCTCCTATCCTTTCATCTCACCTGCTTCTGTCAGTTTTACCCCCTGAAGCCTTGTGCAATACTTCAATGTGGACTTGCTGTGGTCTCAAAGCTCCTATTCTAACTTCCACAAAAAATACATGGTCCTGGCTATCCTTGACTTCTGTGCTAGATTCTTTCCAGCATCGTATATGACTTTTCCTTAAACAAGAAAACTTTCTGAGGTCATACCTTCAAGTCTTCTCTCTTTTCCTCATTTCTCTGTCCCTTGGTGCATTCAGCCACAGAGCACTTGGAACACCCTCTTTGCCAAGTAAGTGGGAGTCCATTTCTCTTTTCCTTTTATCTTTATTTCCTAGTTATATCTGTCTTTTTTCTTCAAATATGACATGTTACAATTTGAACCTTATTTACCAGACTCCCCCCCTCCTTTACTTCTAAATGAAAGATAAGATGATGTTTTGAAACTGGTAATATGCAGTGTTTCCTATATTTACCATAGTTTGGATTATGGATTTTGTAATAAGTTTTTGATTGAGTGTGTGTGAATCTCTGATGCATGTAAAGAATATCTAGAAAAACTAGTAGGTGCTTAGTACATTTTAAAGGCATCCTCAGTTTTGCTCCCAAAGTCCCACAAGCAGTTGTTCCTGGTTAAACCATTGTGTTGAATACTGCCTGGGAAATCTCTTTGACTGATACCAGGTAATTGTGTAAGGAATTATAATAATCTGCTCATTGAGATGAATGTGGCTGCCTGAGATGAGAGCAGTCTATAATAATCACTTTAATTGAGTTTATTCACCCCAGGTAGTGAGATGAGAACTAAAATGTGTGTGTGGGTGGGGGGTGAGTATGTATCTGTCTTTGAAAACTAAGCTTTCTGTGCCAGCTTTACTTCCAACTGAAAGATAAGGAGAAAATTGGAAGTAGGGAGACCAAACACTGCTCATCAACCATCTTCCCATCTAGAATCATTGAGGCAGAATACATTCCTTCCAATCTGCTGCAGAGTAGACACCTGGGGAATCTGTTCATCTGTGTCAGAAGAGATTGCAGTGTAGTCTCACATCAAGCAAAGTTGGTCAGTATGGCTTTGGAACAGAAGAATCCAGATGGGCAGTGGGAGAAGAAAGAAGGCAATGCCCATAAATACATCGGTCCTGGGGCACATATGAGCTACTGTGGATAATTTGGAGCCCTGATTAGACCCGGGAAAGTTTACACACTGGTGCTCAGAAATGATACCAGAATGGATGGGTTGGAATTCCTGTCTAATCAGAATTTTTATTTATTTTATATATATTTTACATCGTTCTTCATTTTTGTACAATGTATGCTTTCTCCTCTCAGATGTAGTCCCTGTGGAATTCCCACCACCAATTCACCAGTGTACCATCATCATAGTCCCTTGTGCTTTCTCCACCCCTCAGAAATTATACCAGG